GTGTGTGTGTGTGTGCATGCATACCTCAAAGGCCTGCACAGGGATGGCTTTGCTGTGACGCATGGAGAGAGGAGGAGGGGAGCATGGAGAGGACAAACTCATGTCCTGGAGAGCCTTCAGAGCCTGAGGGGACAAAGAGAGAGAAGGGGAGGGTCAAAGGGAGAAACAATTAAACAAAAAAAAGATAAATGAGAGGACATAAACACATAGAAAAGAAAAGACACACAAACAGATAAACTCTATTGTTTTCAGCATCAGTGTCAACAAGGAAACAGTTTCCCGTTTCCTGGATGTGATCCAACAGGAGCAGAGAAGGTGGAGCTAGTGCCATCACATGAGTCAAGACATGTAGCTTGATTGCACTGAGGCCGTTTCCTTCCCAGGCAGCTAAAGCCCCTCCTTAAGTCCATGTAGAAATGGTGTGAGCTGTTAACTACTAAGAGCTGGTCAAACTGTACTTGCAAATTAGGGATACAATAATTACGATACGATAATTGGTGAGCTTTACTGTGCTAGAACATTCCTGTTACACATGCTAAAAAAAACAACAAACAAAAAAAAGAGCTAACTAAATACTTTCATGGTCTGGCCTACATGGCACACCCTCTCCATCTGGCTTTCATAGTGTTACACTTTATGCAAATACATTTTAACCGCTTCTATCAACAACACAAATGGCTGCCCTGTACAGATATTCCACAAAATCCCCCCATTACACTCCATCTGTGTGTTGGTCAAGTCTCAAAAAAAGAGATGGGACTCTTTCACTTTGACGCACGCGCGCACACACACACACACAAGTCTGGAGTCTTCATGGTGGGCTACACATGCAGCCTGCAGGGCTTCTGGACAGATGATCCATCATATGGGGAAGGTTATCTAAACTAACTACCTCCGACTAGCAGCTGTCTGTGTGTGTGTGTGAGAGGGAGTTGAAGAGATCATGTGTGAGGGTCCATGCCTACACGCTACTGAATGAGTATATGTGTGTACCTTCTTCTCTATGGAGGACAGCAGGTCTTTTAGAATTGCCAGCTTGGTCACAAGGTTCTCCAGCTCCTGGTCTCCTCCCTGATTCACCGACTGACGGAGAAAAGGAAACAAAAACAATTAGAACCTGTTTAGGCAGTGAGGTTTGAAAAGAAGAACAGAGACAGAAAGTGAGACAGAAAGGATGATTTGTTATGTTTTGCTGTGTGAAAGTTAAATTTAGGTTTTAAAAAATAAGGATGCAACAACTTGGCTCTCAGGGAGAAAGATTATAATCAGATAAATTAACTGAATTAACTAAAAGTGCAGATTGTTTTTAAGACTGCAAAACCAGCGTACCCATGTCTACATAAATCAGCTTTTATTTAAACATAAAATTACATTTTAGTGTTTGTTTGATGACACAAGTGACTTGAACTTCAAAACCATGACTTATCATGAAGGCTGTGAAATCCAGAACGTCATCTCAGAAATATGCTACTGAAGCAGTAACTCAACCACTAGTTTCACAGTGACTAATCCATCATTTCTTAAGTGATGACTACTGGATGATCTTATTTCAGTTCCATTTATATAATGATCTACATTAAGTGACAGTAGTGTGACTAAGTCTACCTCAGCTGTCCTAAGAAAACCCAGTAGAGAAAAAGAAGCTTTTCCTCATAACATCGACTTAATTGCTTACACACACACACACA